AGTTTTTCCCCCAAAAGTCATCACTCTGCTAAACAAATAATTCCCTCAACACTGTTCAACTATTACAAAGTCTCCACTACTATTACTGTTAATCTTCTCATTATTCCTTATCACCCAGCTCCTCCCACTTCTGACTGTATGATTGTAACTTTGTTGCTTGTATCCTTACAATTTATATTGACTGTTTCCTAGTATGATTTCATTGCTTATTGTACCCTATAACCATCATTAAGTGTTGTACCTTATGATACTTGACAAATGTATCTTTTCTTTTAAGTATACTGAGAGTATTTGCACCAAGACAAATTCCTTGTGTGTCCAACCACACTTGGCCAATAAAGTATTCTATTCTATTCTATTATCCTGGTTCATGGGCTGGATGCGTTTTGTGCTGGCCATGCTCCCACCCAGTTTAGCGAAGGGGGGAAAAGTCCAGATATGTCACATGATGTTACTGTGATGACATGAGTTTGACACCTCTGTTCAAGAGGCTTGCCTGTCAGTGTTGGTGGGAGTGATCTTGGAGATTCTGTGGTTAGGTTATTTACCGTTTACCCTTAGTTCATTTGGCATTCCTTGATCAGGGTATAATTTTAAGTGGTTGAAACTGTTTTACTCAGGTGTCTGATGAATTCAGATGTTTTTCTGAAGGTACTTGTGGAATGTCTACAGACAATACTGTAGAAGTCTGTCCAATTTGTAAAATATACAAAAGGACACCTTTAGTTAATCCTTTTGTACCCAAGTATCATCTTCCTTTACCTGAAGGCTGACAGCAATGAAGCAATAGCACTCATATACTGCTTCACACTGCTTTACATCCCTCTCTAAGTAGTTTACAGAGTCAGCATATTGTCACCAACAATCTGGGTCCTCATTTTACTGGCCTTGGAAGGATGGCAGGCTGAGTCAACCTTGAACCAGTGGGAACTGAACTGCTGAACTGCTGCAGTCAGCAGAAGTAGCTTGCAGTACTACATTCTAACACCATAGGTGGTTAGACCAGAAAATGAATAGAGAAATTGTGATAAATTGTACTTAGCTGAAAGATGAGGCCATCTGAAACTCTACTCTGCAGTAATGTGTTCAGTGAAAAAGGCTTAGCTCTCTGCTCCATTGCATTTATAGAGAAGAGTCTGGTGGTGTCAGAATAGTTAGAGACTGGAAGATAAATTTTGTAATGTTTTTCAGAAAAAGTTAGTTGTATTTACTACTATTTTATAGTATACAGGCTAGTCTGGTTTCCAGTTTGGGGATCATATGGACAAGATGTATGGAAAGTGAAAGTTACACTGTCTTGACTATACTTGTTTGTAGATGATTATATTAGCCAGGTTGGGACTGCTTCCATGGTCAAAAAAACCTTGAACAGCAAATGTATTCTTGCCTACCTATAGGACTCCTTTAGAAAATTTGAAAGCCCTTCCTTGACCTAAACATTTCTTCATTTAGTACAATATCAAATATTCAATTGTCAGATAAATTAATAGAGAAAATGTTAGTCTCTCAGGTCTAAATAAATCTGAGGTTTCATCTGGGATGGCCTATGCCATAAATTCAGTAAAGGATGACTTAATCTAAAAATATATGAACCTGCTAATTGTCTTAGGTCTCTTGGTGGCTTTCAAACTATAATACTGTTAAATATAGCATAATATAAACATTATATTCCACTATCCAGTAATTTTAACACTTGGGAGCATTGCCTTACATTATTTTTAGTGGGCCTTTTGATTTGTAAAATACTGTTCAGCACTCTATATATTTACTTTACTTATATACAGTATTTCTTTCCTTTCTTCCTTAGGCTCATGTGTCCCTCCAACGCAGCAGATCATCAATGACCTGTGTGCTCTATTTTGTTATCTTTATTATTTAACATCTCCATAAAACCATTATGGGAGTTAATTTGGAGCTCTATAGGATACCAGCAGCATGCTAGTGACATCCAGTTATACTGTTCTCTGCCTTCTGAATCCACAATAGCATTAGCATTTAGACTTATATACCGCTTTACAGTGCTTTACAACTCTCTTTAAGCAGTTTTACAGAGTCAGCATATTTCCCCCAACAATTTGGGTCCTCATTTTACCCACCTTGAAAAGATGGAAGGCTGAGTCAACTTTAAGGCTGGTGAGATTCAAACTGCCAAATTGCAGGCAGTCAGCAGTCAGTAGAAGAAGCCTGAAGTACTTCATTCTAACCTCTCTGCCATTGTGGCTCAAACAAACAGTATCTTTGAATATTACCTAGTCTTAATAAAGTGCTGGATGAGGGATAACAGGTATAATTAAATCCAGACAAGATGGAAGTGTTATGAATAAATGTAAGCAAGACTCTGAGATTAAGGTAAAAGTTTTTTTCTGAATGAATCATACTTTCCCAGGAAGAGCATATTTGCCAGTGTTCTTTGTGTTGTTCAACTGTGATACTTCCTGTGCAGAATTGGCAGCAATTGTCCATATGACAATCCATATGACAACTGCTATGCACTCACATTAGCCTACTAATGAAAGATAGTCAGGTTTGAGGAAAATATGGCAGCCAGAACAAAATAGAGGAATCATATAAAACTTTTACTAAAAGATCTGCACTGACTATCAAATTATCACCAGGGTTGATTTAAAGTGCTTATTTATTTGGTGTGATTTTGGTACTACCTGCCTCAAGAATATAATATAATAATATAAATTACACTTAAACAGAGAAACACATATAACATAATGGCAATACAAACAATGTCAACAGAAACAAAAAAAAATCAGTCACATCTAATGAGGAGACGGGTGTCACATGCATCCTACCACAAGGCCAGGTCTTTAAAGCTTTACTAAAGATGCCACCATTACTAGAAGCTCAATTACTGACAATTGCAAGGGAGGACATTATTCTGCGTGGCCTCTTGATTATGAAATGCATTCACCAAAGAGGTACATTTGCCTCTTAATCTTCCTATATTTAGTAACCCATCATGTTATTTTAGGATTATGAATAAATATTTGAGAAGATTCCCAAAAAATACGATACCTATATATTACCCATTATTTATTTTCCCCCACATCTAATATTTAGAAGTATATATTTTGTTTCAATTAATCTATCCTTTAAAAATTATGGTCACTTTGATCTCCATGAATTAATTAAATATTATTTCTAATCAACACTTCTGTACATGCAAATGATGTAAAGGAGCACTCTTACCATATTGGTATGTAATTTATAGATCATCTCCAAGTACTAATATAAAACACATTCAGATCCACTGATCTGATAACACATTAAAGCTTTCCTATTCATTTTATTAGAAGGAGAAGTTTTCTCTATGAAAATATGTATAACCATGTATTGGTACTAGAAAATATATTCAATGGGAAAGCTCAGGTTCTGCACTAAAACATGCTCAGAAAGACTTACTGGGCTAGTATATGAGATTTCATATATCAGCCATTTCCTTCAATCTTTTAACATTTCTTGGTAAAACACCCATATTGTTACTCCTAATAATGCTGCATATTTAAATTACAACTGCATATATCACTGAGAAAATAGCATCCTCTAATGGATACAATCACTTTATTCCTACAATAAGATGCTACCCTGCCTGCCCTTAACATCTGGATAAGTTTTGGAACAGATTTCAAACATGCACCGAGATTGCAGGGTAGAGGAGAGATGATGATGATGTGTGTGTGTATATATACATTCATTTAAGTTATTGAATATAGCCATTAAAACATGACTGACACCTAGTTGAAAAAAATTAACCCAAACCATTTTGGAAACATAGCATTCATACCAGGGGTGGGATTCAAAATTTTTAACAACTGGTTCTGTGGGCATGGCTTAGGTGGTGGGCATGGCTTGGTGGTCATGTGACTGGGTGGACATGGCTTGGTGTCATGTTATTGGCTGGGTGTGGCCAACTCAATATCACTCACATTGACACACACATCTCCTCACCTGGCCTCTCATGACTGGGGGGATGCTGCAACAGTTGTAAGTGTGAAAAATGGTCATAAGTCACTTTTTTCAGTGCCATTGTAATTTTAAATAGTCACCCACACAAGCAAAGTACCAGCAAAGAAGGGCGGGCGGGGGGGGGGGGAACTCCAGAGAAGTTCCAGAGACAGGACGTTTAGTCCTGCCAAGAATGTAATAAGGGTTAACGGAGAGGCAGTTTCTGTAAACAACACCAGAATGTTTCCTTCCTGCCTTCCTTACAGGATTAGGCCAGTAATTTCTTCTAACAACCGGTTCTCCGAAGTGCTTAGAATGTTAACAACTGGTTCTAGCGAATAGGTGCGAACTGGTAGAATCCCACCCCGATTCATACATAATTATTTAGCTAGTGTATGCTACCTTTATTGACAAATAGTACAATTTTGTTTTCAATTAAAATCCATTGTAACTGAAATTTATCACTTTAGGGATATACTAAGACTAAACCTTTCTGTGATATTAATATTTTATGTGCAAGGACCTCATTGTTTTGGATTAAAGATTTAGATGCCTTCCACCAACAGTCTGGACGGATTAGATTCCGATACAAGTAGATCTACTCAGTGACAATGCTGTGTTACTCATGACTGAACTTAACAACATTCTTAATTTTTTTGCTTTTGCATTATCAAAAGTTCGTAGAGATCCTAAACTTTCCAAAGACTGGATACAACTGTATAAAATTGAAAGTGATTGTAATATTGCATTGCATTATTACAGCATGTATTCTTTAATAACATTTTCAGCATTTTCAATAAATAGCATATTCAGTCATACAGTAGGTTACTCACAACATTAGAGATAAGTAAAGGAGGCAGACTTAAGTGTCTAAGTCTATAACTTCATGAATTCACAAAATCTCAGATTATTTTTTTAGATTTAGATTGATGAAGCAAGCTAATTAATGAAATCTCAAAACAAATTGAGATTTTAAGCCCTGTTCCTTACCAATTTCTAGGTATTCATGATGAAATGATAATTATGATGGTGACATTATTTAC